TTAACCAGAATCGAACCCGGGACCCTTCAGTCCATGGGCTGATGCTCTATCTGCTGAGCCAAACTAGCTAGGGCCAGGCGAGCATATCTTAATATTAAATCATCTCATAGAAAGCCCAGGGGCTGGTGTCAATTGACAACCACTTTAATGCTATTTCTGTATTTCATGGTACAACATGAGACAGCTCAAGACCAACTGGGTAATTTAATATTACAAGGCGCCAACTCTGATCTAATCAGTGGATGACTGTTGATCTGGATTACTTGGATGAATACAACATGGATGAATACAAATATGTTTTCATTTTAATTTGGGCTATAAATAAATGTGAAAGTTAAGTGTACTTTGTTCCCGATCCCAAAAGGCCCAGATATTTCTGGGAAATGCTGTCTGGGAGATCTTGGCAGTACATCTGCTCGGGAATTAATATGGCAACACCACAGTTAAACTATGGATTCCATACTACTTGCCAAAACACATGCTGAAGACTGCAAAGATTTGGTTGGAAGTCCTGCTTGCTCAGCCCTGAGGTAGAAGGAACAGAGTGTATCTTGTCTTTGCGTTGTCAACTCAAAAATGAGAAGGTAGGAAGGTGCCAATGTGCCTGGAGGCACAGTAAAGAGGTGATTGCAGATATAGCACCCTTGGCTGTGTTCCCCTACCCTGCCCCTGCTCACAAAGGAAGGCGAGCCCAAGTTCTTATCTTCTGGAGGAAGAGAGGAGAGTTAGGAAGCAACTCTTGTCAGGAGCATTTGTGGCTCTCTCGGTTCAGTGTTGGGACAGTTGTGCACACAAGAAAGTTTTCTACCTTTTAGGCATTGTGACAGTAGAGAACAGCAGAAAATGTTGTTTTTCAGGAACCTCACAATAGCAGGATCCCTAATTTTATAGAGACCACTAGTTGTGTTAGCTCAGGATAATTTGCTGAAATAAAGCAGAGAGGGAAAATGAGATGAACTATATACCTTTCTTTTAGCCATGAAATCATTTGGCAATGAAAAAAAAAAAAAAAAGATTACATGCAGAAAAGAGAAAATCCCATCTTGGTATATGCCTTGTTTTTATGTTAAAGGAGGAAGAGAAATCGGGGAGGAAACCAACACTGGGGGTGTAATTGGCTGCCAGCGGCCTCATATACCTGCTCAGGCATCTGAGCCCCATACTTGGCGCATCTCGTTTAATGCTGGCATATTTTAAAATGCCACTGAGTTTAAGTGTAGCACCAAATAATGCACTGTAATAAAGACGCACAGGGGTTGAATTAAAAGTGGAGGAACTAACTTGGCCAAAGAAACGGGAAGCAGATTAGTTTGCAGGTTTTGTTTGGACCTCTGCTTTTGGAGGGAAATGAGAATTCTTTGTTGCAGTTCTTTCTTATTTGACTGATAGGTTTTGCTTAAAATAGACCCTAGTGTTCTATTCCTGCTATGAACCATAGTAGATTATTTTGCTATAATTGTACTTCATTAATAAAAATGATAAAAATATGAAATATCTAATTAAGAGATCAGCCTATATCATCTAGAAAGAATGACTTTTTATAATCTTTATAAAATTACAAAGTGATTAGTTTCTTTGTACAATTAATCAACAGCATCCCACCTCTCCTGTTGGTTGAAAATAGCTAAAGCTCTCTGTTACGTCTAGGAATATTACCCAAAATATGTCAGCTGTGTTTCATCACTCCTTCTTTCAAAGAGGTTACTTCGCAATGTGTAATTGTCTTTATGATCGTATTACCAAGCCATAGATTTTAAAACACATGAGACTTAGTTGGTGGTCAAAAAATGTTCCTAAACCCAGCTGGGTGTGCTCAGTGGTTGAGCATCAACCCATGAACCAGGAGGTAACAGTTCAATTCCCAGTCAGGGCCCAGGCCCAGGTTTTGGGCTCAATCCCTGTAAGGGGCACACAGGAGGCAGCCAATCAATGATTCTCTCCCATCATTGCTGTTTCTATCTCTCTCTCCCTCTCCCTTCCTCTCTGAAATCAAAATAATTTAAAAAATGTTGTTGAAGGGCCATCCTTTTGGTTTGGGGAATGCAATTATTCCTGCATGTGCAAAACTGCATAAACAAGCAGCCAAATGCCTACAACTGCAATAAATTAGGCAGTCACCAGCTATTAAAAGTTCATTTTTAGGGTTCAAACAAATCGGTGCAGCCCCAGTTGGCTAGTGGCATGGTGTAATAATTTCTAGGGCGAATTCTATACCAGAATGATTACATATTTCCTATGGATAGAGAGAAAGAGGACAAGGCTGAGACTTGTATTAAATGCCTACCTGAACCTTACACTCCTGCCAACAGATTTTGATCATTGAATCTGCAAGTCACATGATTGGAAACAGAATTACCATATTGAATAAATGGGAAGGATGGGGGGGGGGTAGGGATCGGTTGTAGGATGAGTATTTAGAGGGGAAAAATGCTTCACTTTCAGCCACTTCTATTTTTGAGAATTTAATAGGCAAGTCCTGCCAAAACCTGTTTGGCTCAGTGGATAGAGCATCGGCCTGTGGACTGAAAGGTCCCAGGTTCGATTCCGGTCAAGGGCATGTACCTTGGTTGCGGGCACACCCCCAGTAGGGGGTGTGCAGGAGGCAGTTGATTGATGATTCTCCCTCATCAATGTTTCTAACTCTTTGTCTCTCTTCCTCTCTGTGAAAAATCGATAAAATATATTAAAACACACACACACAAACAGGCAAGTCCTTGGTGCAGGACAAGGTTGCCCTGTTGTGACTTACTGAAATCTTCATCAAGTGTTCACAGGGGAAGTGGTACACAAGAAAGGCACACAATAATCTTTTTTTTTTTTAAAGGTATAGTTTGAGAATTATGTCTGTGGGATAGGTATGAGATGACAATTTAATGTTACTCAAAATTAATTTAATTTCCACAAGCCATTGATAAAACCTAAAGTACAGATTGTAGAAACAAATACTGTTTTATCAAAGCCCTAGTATAATTCTCATGTGAAGATGTGTAATGAGGCCTTTTATATGCTTAGTTGAGAAAAATATCTGAGCTTGTTCTTATCTCTAGGAAAAGACACCACTAGCCATTTTTCTTTAAAATGGGTTGTTATAAAAATAAAAAAATAAATAAAATAAAATGGGTTGTTATGTTGTTAACAAACAAAAGTTATGGCAATAGGGGAGATTTTCAGATTTACTATGCATTTATTTAAGCTGAGTATTTACAATATAAAAGAAAACTAGGTTTAGTATCAGATTTAGAATAATGCTTTCTAATAATTTCTGATTAGGTTATTTTTCTACTTCATTTGTAGGCAGCAAGCCCTTTTGAAATTTTAAGATATTTTCATTAAATCTTTTATTTAGATTACTGACTATTCTTTTCATAATTTTACCTCTTCAGTAAAATTATCAGGCTTCTCTGCAGGGCTGATTTGCATTTGGGGCTTTGAAGAGTCAGAGGCGGGCATATGGAAGAGAAGAAGTTTGTGGAAATTGTATCTATAATTCCTTTCTTGGTGCTCAACATCGCAAAGTGGGGGTCTTTCTATTTCTAGTTTTGAAAAAAAAAAAAGGGAGGGGGGGAGAATGTAGAACAAAATTTCCCACATAGTATCAGGTCAGGTCCACAATTTGATGAAGAAGAGAAGGCTCTCACACCTTATTCTAAGGACTGGAGTCAATTAATTGGGTCTGCAATTAGCCCCTCTGGTTGTAATCAATTACAAGTGTAATTTCTGTGTGTGAACTAATTTTGTGTGCAAGAGTTGTCCCACCAAAATAAAAGCCTAGATTAAAATAAAATTCAGATCTGTCTTGCTTCACATCCTAAAAAAAAGCCTAATTTTTTCTAAAAGCCATAAAGACCAAAATTAAAAGACCCAGTATAACTCAAGAATTTAAAAAAATTTTCTACAAATACTTAGGAATGTAAGTACTTGAGAATCTAGGAAATTTTGCATTATTTTATTATTATGAATATTTTACTAATTTAAAATAAAATCTTAATTATATTTATATTATAATTTTATTATTTTGCTTCTAATGTTTTATATATAACATATACATTGTGTTTGGTTCTATACTACACTTAAGTACACAAACAAATATACTCACCCAGGAGCATAAATAAATTGCAATTCTGAGTTCTATTACAATAGATCACTTAGTGCATTGCTCTACGTGAAAGGCCTAACAAAGAGCTAATATGTAATGTGAAGATTCCATGAATTTTACTATTTGTCAAAACTCTACCAAGTCAGCTTGGCCTCACCAAAAAAATTTAACACACCAGATAGGTGAAAAACAAAACAAAACAAACAAGCCAGCAAACAAATCCCAAACATTTTAACAAGCAGTTCATGTTTTAAAAGAACTTCCAGTGCAAATTTCTGAAATTTCCCATGTCATTTTGGCATACCTATTTTACCACCGTGTTGTAGACAACAGCTTTTAAGTTCCCCAATTCATAAATGTAATTAAATAATTACATTAGTGCTAATTAACATGAAACTGCAGATTATTTAAGCGCAAAAAACACTATTCAACTTCTTAATTATTCTTGTTCACACAGCATTTCCTTTTGCTCAGGCGCCCTAGGTGCAAATAAAGCATCCCATCTGCTCGTAATTAGAACTAAATAATTTCAGAGGACGTAGCTTATCATTTTGACTGCACATTTGATTAAAAACAGTGTACAAGCAATATCCTGGCTTATTGGCATAACAGCAACAGCACACACAAGCCTGTGTTCTCCTATCATTAGAGAAGATAGGAAACATTATCTGTTATTTCAGGGGGGAAAAATACAACTTTTTAGTTCATTTCATACAGATGAAAGCGAATTACAGCAAATCACCTCTCCACTGAATAGCAGCCCCCACATAATGACTTTATTTGCTTAATCCCCAAATTAAACGCCGTTTCGAGCGAGGGCCCTGTGTTATTACTCTCATCATGTTGAGAACATTTTCCTGCCGAGACCAATTTGAATAAAACAAGGGGCCTTCCTTGAACTCAATCAAGGAGCCATAATGTGGTGGGTAATAGAGGTTGCTGATAGATTTGCAGGCAAAAGTGTTATACCTAATGATGGGATATGGATAATAGTTCTTCTGGAGGTCCTGATGCGATTCCAGTTGGCTGCCAGATGCTAAAAATCAAGAAGAGCATTGATCAGTGACAGGAAGCTGCAGTGGATTCATCTAGTCAAACTTCAGCTGTGTTTCCACTGTACAGTTAAGCCAGGCATAAATTATATTAATTGATTTAATTACATACTTAAAACATCTTCCCCAATTAATTTAATTAGGTGGCTACATGATGCTACTGGCAGGGGAAGATTAGAGGCAGCTCACTTAATTAACAGAATATGAATGAAAAAAAGAGAAAGCAAACATAAATGAAATTGTGAGCACTAATTAAAAGGCTGTCTGCAAACTTAAATACTTTCTGACAAAGTGGTGACAGCAATGTAGACAAGACAGGATTCCCCCCCCCCCCCCCCCCAGCAAATTAAAGTGCCAGAAGGTATATACAGGGAGAAAAGGTAATGCAGTTACACCACTGATTTTCTGACAGGACGACCATAGTCAAAGTGAAGGCACATTTCCCCTATAGAAAAATTGCAACAGATTTTGCAGATTCCTGGTTAGGACTAAAATATGATGTATGGCGCAAACAAACGTAGTAGGGTTTGTGCATCACACACGTGGAGGAGAGTGGAAGGTGAGAGGGGCTGAGGGGAAGGGTAGTTGGAGAGAGAAAGGAAAGATAGAGAGACAACTTATTGCAATCGTTCAAGCAAGAAATGTTTAGGGAAAGAGTCTGCCTTAACAGCTGGCAGCCTTGCGTGCCTTGGCTCGAATGCGGAAGTTCTGCAGGTGTCTTTCACGTGTCTCCTTCAGGATGTTCGTCAGCCGCGTCCGGTGGCAATGTAAGAGCCACGCAATGGCGATCACACCCGACGCCCACTTCTGCTGGCGAAAGATGTGAAAGTATCTTCTTGCTTTGAAGCATTTCCACGTGGCTTGGATCTTGCTGGCAGCATTTAGCGTTCCACCTTGCCCTTTGTATCTCTGCCCGGGAACAGTGAACATCTTTTGGAGGGGAACAGGGTTCTCCACCACTGAGAGAAGGTCACTTTTGGTAAGTTTATTCTTCAGCTCAAACTCTGGAAGGAGGGCTATCAAGTTGTTCCCTTTGATTTTGACTTCTGGTATTGCATACTCCCTGAGTAACTTCTCGATGTGTTCCAAGAGAGAGAAAATGCTTCCCCAAGATAAGATAAAATGAGACTTGAATGCTACGAAGTCCGGGGCTGTGCTGTCTATGACGCCATCATAAATAAAAAAGTCGTGATCCCACGGTGATTTCAGAGCTTTAGAAGGTGGTGTGATTTTCAAGCTCTGTGGGAAGAAAATGTCCGAGATGAAATAGAATTATGATCTACCTTAAAGGAGTGGTCAAGAAATACACAATTACATTATCATTTACTACTCAATGGAGGGAAAATATAGATCCTACTTTTGATTTCATACCTATATGCCATAATATGAAAGTCTGGCAAGTATATATCATAAAACTCATTATCAAAGAATATTTAGAGGTTGCTCAAAGCTATTATCATTTTTAATAAAAGTGTTATTTAATTGCTCGAAACTGATCATATACAAGTTGTGCATTTAGTTCACTTTGATGTGGCCAACTGACCTATCATCTCTGCGATTTACTTTTTACGTATGCATGGATGGAAGCAAATCACTGCGTTCTTATTCATAAGTTATCCACCAATCCTGAAAAGCGAGTGAAGCCTTTCTTTGCAGGCTTGCTTTGTTTATTTGTTTGTTTGTTTGTTTTTTGTTAACCTCATCTGAGAATTTTTTTTTCCCCCTTGGTTTTCTTTAGAGAGAGTAGAAGGAAGTGATGGAGGGGGAGAGAGTGAAACGTTGATGTGAGAGAAACACATTGATTGGTTGCTGCCTGCACATGCCCCAGGTACATTCTCTTGACTGAGAATCAAACCCAAAACTCCCTGGGGTGCTGGCTGATGCTCAAACCACTTAGCCATATCGGCTAGGGCTTTTTACTATCTTTATGATAATTTCAAATATGCTCATCAAAGCTTTCCTGTCTATTCTGACATCTAACAGGTCTTCACTTTCTGGTGATTTGAAATTCTGCCACCTTCTCTTAATATCTAAGAGTGATTTTACAAAAAGCATTATGTTGTCTGTTATTACCATTGTCAAGGTTCCTCTTGACATATGTTCTTTTATTCTTAAATCTGGTGTCTTCTTATGGACATATCTGGAGCTATCCTCAGGTAGAATCTGAAATGACCTAACAAATAAAACCAAGGAAGCATTTGCTTCATTTTGTTCCTATCTATACTGATTTAATTGTAAGTCATGAAAAATACTACTTTTATTTTTACATGTTGAGATGGATTCTCTAAGAATGGGATGATGGGTCAATGTTTTTCTTCTTTATACTTTTATGTATGAAGAAAGGCTGAGTAAATACTATCTATCTATCTATCTATCTATCTATCTATCTATCTATCTATCTATCTATAAGCCTACGTGACCATTACACCCAAAATGACTGAAATGACCAATTGACCAGTGGCTATGAGACACACTTACCACCAGGGGGCAGATACTCAATACAGGAGCTACCCACTGGTGGTCAGTGTGCTCCCATAGTTAACCTCCTACAGCCAAACAACCTCTCACAGTCCCTCTCCCTGGCCGGCCAATGTCCCGTGGCCCCTCGCCTTGTCCATCCACTGGCCAGTAAGCTCCAATCAGCCTGGCCTTGATTGGGACTGGGCGAGATGGCCCTGATTAGCCCTGATCTCTAGCCAGTCCCCACCCATGCACGATTTCGTGCACTGGGCCTCTTGTTTAAAAATAAAATCAGAAGTGGTTTGGATTACAACAGCAATATATGTTACACACATTAATAAAGGAATTCAGCAATGTAGCAGCAATGTATGGGTTAACACCATAAATCAATGGCATTTTTATACACCAATAGTAAACTTACAGAAGAAGAAAATCCCATTTACCATTGCACCAAAAAAATTAAGATACCTACAAATAAATGTAATTAAGGAGGTAAAAGACATGTACTCAGAAAACTACAGGACACTGAAAAAAGAGATAGAGGAAGATATAAACAGATGGAAGAACATACCGTGTTCATGGATTGATTGAATCTACATCAATAAATGTCCGCACTACCCAAAGCAATCTATAGAGTTAATGCACTCCCCATTAAAATATCGGGTTTAGTAATACTTAATGTCGTTTTAAACATTCGTTTAAAATCTTGCTTGGCATTGACTTGTATTGACATAACCTTCAAACACGTGGTATCTACAGAACGTGTGAAGTGCAATTAACAAGTTTTGCTTGAAAAAGTTTGTGTTTGGTTTGGTTTTTGTTGCAAAACTAGGGCTAAGAAGATGGCGGATGAAGAGCATATTCGGCACTGCATGCTTTATGAGTTCCAATTAGGAAGAAAAGCAAGTGAGGCTGCAAAAAACATCTGTAGTGCTCTTGGTCAAGATGCAGTTAGTGCCAGAAAATGCCAGCATTGGTTTGAGAAATTTCGCGAGGGAAATTTTTCATTAGATGACAAGAGTGGTCAAGGCCGTGTGTCCAATTTTGATTAAGAAGCTCTTCAAGCTCTTTTGGTGCAAAATCCTCAAATTACCCAACAAAAGCTTGAGACAACTTTAAATTGTTCACAAAAAACAATTTCCAATCAATTGCGTGCACTTGGCAAAGTCCAAAAGTTTGGAAAATGGGTTCCTCATGAGTTGACCGACAACAACCGTAATCAAAGAGTCACAATTTGCAGTTTGCTCCTCTCTCGTCAAAACCGTTTGCCGTTTTTAGAGCCAATTGTTACCGGAGATGAAAAATGGGTGCTGTATGTTAATTTGAAAAGGCAGCCTCAATGGTTGGACAAAAATGAGGCTCCGCAGCCCACGCCAAAACCTGACTTGCATGCGAAAAAAGTGATGTTGTGTGTTTGGTGGAATTTTAAAGGAATTCTTCATTATGAACTTTTACCATCTAACCAAACCATTACAAGTGCAGTGTATAGTGCCCAATTGGAAAGGTTAGCCCAAGCTTTAAGAGAAAAAGAACCCGCGCTGATTAATCGGAAGGGCGTAATTCTTCACCACGATAACGCACGACCGCATACTGCAAGAATCACTGCTGAAAAACTGCGCCAGTTGGAATGGGAAGTTCTCCCTCAACCTGCATATTCTCCTGATATTGCCCCTTCCAATTATCATTTGTTTCATTCTTTGCAAAACTTTCTTCTTGGAAAAAAATTTAATAATGAAGAATGCCTCAAAAATGCATTGACCGAATTTTTTGCATCAAAATCACAAGAATTTTACAACAGAGGGATTAAAATGCTTCCTGAGTGTTGGGCACAAGTAGTAGAAAACAATGGCAACTATATTGTTGATTAAATTTTGTTGTATTGTTTAAATAAATTCGATTTAAAAAAGTATTAGAAAACGACATTAATTATTACTAGACCTAATACCAATGGCATATTTCACAGACCTTGAATGAACTCTCCAAAAATTCACCTGGAATAAAAAAAGACCTCAAATAGCTGCAACAATCCTGAGAAAGAAGAACAAAGTAGGAGGGATTTCAATCCCAGATATCAAGTTCTATTAAAAAGCCACTATTCTCAAAACTGCCTGGTACTGGCACAAGAACAGACATATAGACAAATGGAATAGAATAGAAAACCCAGAAATTGACCCAAACCCTAAAGGAGGCAAGAGAATACGATTAGTCTAGATATTCTCTTCAATAAATTATGTTGGAAAAATTGGACAGATAGATGCAAAAAAAATAAATAAATAAAACAAGGCCACCAACTTACACCATACACAAAATTATCTCAAAATGGATCAAGGACTTAAACATATGATGGGAAACCATAAAAATACTAGAGGAATCCATAGGCAGCAAAATCTCAGACATATGCCAAAGCAATATTTTCACCTATACAGCTCCTAGGGCAATGGAAACTAAAAAGAAAATAAACAAATGGTACTACATCAAAATAAAAAGTTTCTGCACAGCAAAAGAAACCATCAACAAAACAATAAGAAAGCCCTCTGCATGGGAGAACATATTTGCCAATGTTAACTCTGATAAGGGTTTAATCTCCAACATTTACAGGGACCTCATACAACTTAACAAAAGGAAGATAAACAATCCAATCAAAAAATGGGCAATGGCCCTAAATACGTAGATACTTTTTGAAAGAAGACATACAGACAACCATGAGACTTATGAAAACATGCTCAAAGTCACTAATCATCTGAGAGGTGCAAATCAAAAGGACAATGAGGTACCATCTCACACCTGTCAGAACAACAAATCAACAAACAACAAGTGCTGATGAGGATGCAGAGAAAAAGGAACCCTCATGTACTGTTGGTGGGAATGCAGATTGGTGCAGCCACTGTGGAGAACAGTATGGAGTTTCCTCAAAAACTAAAAATGGAACTTCCATTTGACCCAGGGAACCCACTTCTAGGAATATATCCCAAGAAATTAGAAATACCAATCAGAAAGGATATATGCACCCCTATTTCAATAGCAGCATAACTTACAATGACTAAGATTTGGAAACAGCCTAAATGCCCATCAACAAAAATCATTGTGTGGTACCTCTACACAATGGAATACTATGCTGCTGTAAAAACGAAGGAACTCCTACTGTTTGCAACAGCATGGATGGACCTGGAGAGCATTATGCTAAGCGAAATAAGTCAGTCAGAGAAAGATAAATATCACATGATCTCACTCATTTGTGGAATATAATGAACATAAACTGATGAATAAAAACAGATCCAGAGACAGAGAAGCATCAGTCAGAACTGTCAAACCTAGAGGGAAGGCAGGGGAGGGTGGGGGGAAGGGGAAGAGATCAACCAAAGGACTTTATGCATGCCTATAAGCATAACCAATGGACACAGACAACAGTGGGGTGAGAGAATGAGGAGGGAGGTTGGGGGGCGGGTGAGTAATGAGGAGTTAAGGACACATATTCAATACACTAATCAATAAAGAAAAAAGAGAAAACTAAAGATAAGAAAATTTTGTTATGTCCATATTCACTGTGAAAGCATTGCATTTCATTACTAAAACCTGTTGCACTGAAAAAATAGACACTTTGCCTACTGTCCAAATGTTCCTAATGGTCTGGGGGGTAAGGGCATATAGATGTTTCAGGTCCTGCCTTCTTTGCCTAAGCCAGGTATAAACTTACTGTGCTGACTACTTCTTGCTTATGGATTTAAGGAACAGATTGTCTTCAATATGTCAATGTTTCAGATGTATAAACTCATCTTTAC